ATAATGTGGAGGTTGTCGTAAAGCTTGTTACCTCATACATGGGGAATGCAGCCTTCCCCCGTTTTATGATGCCGTCTGGATCCCTGAGATCCCGAGCGGGAAACACGAGGCCAAGGTTGGTGACATAGCCTGTGTCGGGCATCTTTGCCTGTACTGGTTGTGTATGTTTTGCGATCTTGTTGATCTTCTTGGTCGGCTCGTCGCCCTCTGGGTTAAATGTGATTTCCTCCTCAATAGCCAAGGTGATCTTCTGTATCGTCACCCTCCTTGCCTTGTTAAGCCAATCCGGGTTTGGCGCGAGCTTGATGTAGACGGTGATGGGATCCAACGGACCATAGCTCCACTTGGGGAGAGAAATGCCCAATGTCACTATGTTGTCGGCAGTCACCGCCTTGCTTTCGGGACGATTATACATGCCGAAAGTTGAGAGGGTATCGTATCTTTGTAATGGTATTGGGAAGGTGTATTTGTTCTGGGTGCTCCCGCCTTGCTGGACGGTAACGACCAGCTCGTAATATGTCTCGGCGGTTCGGCTAGGGAGCTGTAGGCTCGCAGGAGGAATGCGACGATTTATTTCCTCACCGCCGCGCCCAAAGGGTATGAATATCTGGAAGGGGAGGTCCATAGCGATGACACTCTCAGCCTGCTTGCCCGACACACACCGAAACAGTACCACCTCTTTCCCAACCAGGTCGACTGTCTCCCGGCGCGGGGTGCCGAGGTGGCGTTTCGCAACATTCTCGGCGGCTGGATGAATGGTTTCCCGTCGCTGTAGGGAAATGCGCACCATGGACACATTGACGGGGGCAGAGTAGCCTGCGCCTGGCCGGATCTCGACTTTGCCGACTATTCTAGGCTTGGGGGTGTGTCAGCATGAGGCGGACGTCGACATATTGGATGCGCAGGCGGGCGGCTGAAACTGGATTGCGCCCGAGGCTGCATGCGACAACAGCAGTAGACGGGGCAAGAGACATAGGCGACTCACTAGTGTTGCTGATATGCCTGGGTAGCCAACTAAGAAGCTACTGTTTGGGGGACCTGAGATGCGAACCGTAGCAGCGGCATTTGAGGCCATCCTGGCGTCGCGGGCGCCCAGGTAGCGTGGCGGTCTCGAGGGGGAGTTGGGTCAATAGGGGTCGGGGTCGTCGTCGTCGTCGAGCGCGGGCGCTGCGGCCGTCGCCGTTCATGAGGGTATCGCAGTCGCCGCGTCCGGGCTACGAGAATGAGAGCTGAAGAGCTGAGGCAACGTGCAGGTCGAGTGCGGAGGGACCTGGAAGTGTGGAGTTCAAGAGGTGATCCGATGAGGGGTACCTGCCTGGATCTGGCTGGCCCAGGCCTTGTCCTGATCGATAAGGATAAGGGAGCTCTGGTTGGGGGCGGCAACAGTAGGGCAGGAGAGGAAGGACAGAACAGGACAGAAATCCGGGGCTCGGCGAATTTACGGGTGTCCGTCGAGGCGTGGAACGACGTCGTTGCTTGGACCTTTTCAGTTTTGTGAGATAGGATGGGATGAGAGTGAGACGGCACTCAGAGTGACGAGTTGTGGGTTTGCGGGCTGCGGACGGAGAGCCGGGGTGCTGTAGCCCAGGCTTATTTTGAGCTGTTGGGTCGCAGGACCAGGGCAAAGGGAGAGGCCGATTGAGCCGCCGCCGTGGATTTTCGTCTTGTCCAGTGCTCGAATCCGGCCGACTCGTTGAGCCCCTTGTCCCTTATTGTTCGGGGATCCTTCGTCTTTGATCGTTGGCACTGGACGGAGCTCGACACAGGCACCTACGAGCCCCGATTCATCTAACAAACAATTTCAGTGGGTCGCAGCGCAATACCCTTAGGCCTTTAGAGATCGCTCCACAGCTTGTCCTGGTCCAATCGGCAGACGTCGATGTTGTGGTGAATTTCTCGGCCTGGCTCCTGGGCAACCTGTCGTTGCGAAACAGCAATTGTGGGTTTTGGTCTGTAAACTTCCATCAGGTAGTGGTAGAGTGAATTCACGATGAGCTGGTAGACTAGATACGCCCGAGGACCTCACCAATTAGGCACCAGCCTCAATCGAATTGTTCCCGAGATCCTGGTCGGACGGGCTAGCTTGCCGAAGCGACAGCAACGTCGAAAAAGAAGGAATTGGTGATGCGATTACCAATTGCGAAAGGGAAATGCAAGCGAGACACGTAGATTGTCAGCAGCCTTATTGCTGACGATCTCTCTGCTATCTGCTAGTCGCCAGGGAAGTGCGCAACCCCAATCAATTGGCCGAGCTACGGAAACATGCGAATCAGAGTGCCCTGCTGTCACTGCATCCATGGAAGTTGAGGGGAGCGGAGAACCGTGCATCCGCAATCAACAAGAAGGGTGGTGCCCGAGGTCTGTGAGCAAGCTTATGATAGTGTATCTAAGCCACTGTAATATTCGATGTACTGTCCCTGCAGCACCTCAGAGCTGTGTCGAGTTTTCATGAGTGTGCTCACTCTCACTGGTATTGAACCCTAAATCCGTCATCAAGTGATTAGTACCTGGTACTCCGGTCAGCGTGAGGAACCAAAACAAGCAAGATGAGTTGGGGTGTTCTGCCTACGGATCTGTGCTTCTTTCCAACTTTGTCTTAGCTGCTACCTCAATGTCTTGGGGACCAACTCGGCTGCGATTATGTTGATTAATTTGCTGTATCACTTCGTCTGGTACGCCGTCATTTGCTTAAGTAGTTGCAGATGGCATTGTCTTGCGATCGGACATAACGTGAGTACGAGTTATTCTTTAGTAATCGCTTCCGCACCGAGCCAACCCAGAACTCCGTGAGTTATATCATACCTTTAGGTATGTTAACTATAGGCAAACTTAAGCATTAATCAACAAAGCCTTGACAAGAAGACCGAGGCTTTTTTGCACGTCTTAGGAAAGGATAAGCTCCAAAAATTGAACGACGTATTCATAACGGGTGGGCAGCCCCGCCAATCCACCCACTACGGATCTGCAATCCCTTCCCCGGTTCAACGGTGGGTCGCAGGCTTAAGCGATGTTGCGCAAGGATGCCAGCAGGCCAGGTGCATTAGGGGCGTGGTCAGAGCTTCCCAACTTGCGTTTGGTCCTGAAATTTCATCTGAAAGGCCAGAGCCAAGCCTGGCCTGGGCAACGTCAGATGCTTGGGGGGCGGGGTCATCTTTTCCCAAGAACCTTCTTTTCATGTTCCACGTTCAACTCGGGTGATAAAAGACCGAACCGGGAAAGGGGCAACAATCCAAATATCCGTTCTGGCTTTCCCTGTACAACATGTCTGTCACTCTGCACACCACTCTGGGGGACATCAAGATCGAGGTGTTTTGTGAGAGCGTCCCCAAGACGGCCGAGGTTAGCCCCCTCACCCCCCACCAAGCCAGGCCATGGCGTCGTCAAATATGCCCAACGTGTGTCTAACTCGCATTCCCTCAAAACAGAACTTCCTCGCCCTTTGCGCGTCACAATACTTCGATGACTCTCCCTTTCACCGCGTAATACCGGGCTTCATGGCTCAGACAGGGGCGCCCGCACACCCATCACCTCCTGAGAACCCGAAAGGCGGGCGGTCCATCTACAGCGCTACTGGAGGGTTTGAAGACGAGATCCGGCCAGCCCTCCGACACCACAGCCGTGGCGTGGTCAGCATGGCGAACAAAGGCCCGGGAACCAACGGAAGTCAGTTCTTCGTGCTGTTCGACCGCGCGCCGCATCTGGACGGCCTGAATACCGTTTTTGGCAAAGTCCTGGGTGACGATAGTCTCGAAACCCTCGCTAAGATGGAGAAGGTCGAGATTGACAAGAAGAACAGACCCTTAGAACCCATAAAGATCACCAGCGTGACGATCCACGCGAACCCGCTAGCCGCGTAGATGGGCGACGGATGTATTACAAGGACCAGTCAGCCGTGACGGCGACAGACGGGGGGCTTTGACGGACCGTCAACAAGCAACTGCCAACGATTCTCTACTATATAACTGCATCACGCTGGATTCTGCAGAAACCGAAACACGACACTGGCGTATTGTCCCCATCGCGATAAGCAAACAATGCCTATAATTAACGGCCTCCCGTTTGGGTCAACGGCAAATCCATGATCAGGGAGTGGAATGTTCTGGAGGCTTGGCATTTTTCCGCTCTCACGAAACGAGGCTACATTAGGCAGGAGAATAAATCCAGCAAACTGGATGTGTGAGTCTCTTGAATAAGCCCGAAACAGGTGAACTTGATTCTTATAGCCTTCCCACAAGGCATATGCCGGCTGGTGGTCAGATATAGGCCTATCCGCATTACCGACAAAGTGTTGTAACGCAGCCAGGTGCCTTTTGTGCCAAGTCAAGTGCTATGGCCTGGGCCTAGATAGTCACAAATGAAAAGAACAAACATGGCAACCAGTTGCCATAACGAAATGTCGTCGTTGGCGAGCAAGGACGTGACAGCCCGGGTTTGCTTGACGGCGTTGCACTTGGCTGTATTTACGCGACGGCAGATACAAACCTACGCCCATCTTTACCTCTTGCCAGCAAATGGGATTTACGCTGACTTGATCCTTTTCACTCATTGGGGATTTCTCTCCCCACTTTTTTGTAAAGAAGCATAGTTTCCCGCATGTATATATACCCCTTAGTATGTTGAATGAAGTTTTTTTTGGAATAAATAGAACTCACTCTCTTAATTATTCGACGATTAGCTTGCATGAGAAATTAACCGTCTTGCCTGCTCGAGCCATATAAATCTGACAAGAACTGTCTTGTTGAGGTAGTGGGTCCGCTCTAACTGATTGATCGAGGATTTTGACCTTAACTCGCCGTCCTCATCTCGGCAGAGGCTATAAATGTTGTCATGTTGTAATTGACATACAAAAGATAAAACAAACGAATACTCCTTACTATTAGTGTCGAGCATCCAAGTCAGACAACCCTATAGCCTCTGAACTGGCACTCACATACACTCGTAGCACAATCCCTAGTGCGATTACCACGAGAGTGAAAGGCGACGTGTGCAAAAATGTAAATTGACAAGGACGGGATTCGAACCCGCGATCTTTCGAACTGCCGAAAGGACGTCACGTGACCTAAAGACAGCGCCTTAACCGCTCGGCCACCTTGCCTAGTTTGTATTATCTCGAATAAGTTTGTTTCGATGGACTCATTGGGAGGAAATGGCGGTACTATCTTTGACTTCTGTAGTGGCTCCACCTTTTTAAATCATGGCAGCCAATCATTCAGGGCTCCCGAACCCCCCGTCCATTCTCAGGTGTACAACCATGAGAAGGAGGTAGCATGTATGTGCTTCACAGTTACCTGAACCATCCATCCACAGTACAGTGAGATGTGGGCAATTAAACTGTACAGATTACCGTGTACACTAGATTACCGCCCTGGGCCGCCCTGCTAAGACAGAACAACCACGCATACCCTAACTTCCTGTGCCTTCACTCAAATGAGAAGTTCAACTATTTCTTATCCTCCGGCTGGCAGGATCTCTCTACCAATATGGTGGGAAATAAATATGAACGAAGGAGAGCTTTGACTCGTATGCAATGATCACCGCCCACTTGGCGGAGTGACGGAACTGGGGCTATTTTTTGACGACACAGGCCTAAATCCTTCCTCATCCGTCGTCACTGATAAACAATAAAGATGAGCGTGGGGGAACCAGCCTGCTTGGGCTAAGAGAAACATGTATCACGGATATGAGTCTCGGATACAACCTGGAAGTCAACACAGAGTCTGCTCTTTATGTGTGGACTTGATGGGTTTGAGGCTGCCATCAACCTGGCAAGTCCTTGCAGCAAACTTGCATGGTCGGGTTTCTCAGTGTTGCCAACCATAGCCGTTCATTGTCATCCATTTCTTGGTCTTTCATTTCCAATTGAGTGTTGTTTGTTTGTCCACGGTAGGGATCCGAAGATGGACAAAGGTGTACAAACAGTGGGGGTCAGGGTACAGTACGTACATGTACATGGGCATGAGTCCGCACTGTATTTGATTAGGTAAGGTGTGAGTGGGCTCTTGACCAGGAGCTTCAGTGGGACTGATATTTTAACTTCTCTTCCAAGGAGATACTCGAGGTGATTCAGGTGAGACAAGAAAAACACCATCTTACCGCAAAAGCTGGGGATTGGGCAGTGACAAAAAACACTTATCTACGGACAACGCTCTGCGTCCAGACCGTCCTGGCCTCGACGGAAGCTTGAAATGGCTTTCGACGACGACGACATGCCCATGGCGGTGCCGCTGGCGCAAGCAGCCAGCGCGGCGGCAGCGGCCGAGATCGACGGGGGTTTGACTGCAGAAGACGCTCTCGAAGAAGAGACACAGGACTTTCTGGCCTTTGCGAAATCATTTCGCAAGGGAACACATATCTCAGCCCAAACGATCCGCAGGGGCGAAAAGGACTTTGAGTCACACGGCACACGCGCACAGGAAAACGCCCTCGAGCAGAGCCGCGCCGCCATGAAGGACGTGCTCAGCTACACGCGCATTCACACGCAGCAAAATTGGATCCGGGGCTGGTACTTCCCGGATTGGTGGGCCGATGCGCCCGAGGAGGAAGAGGAGGAGAGCGACGGAAAGGAGTCTGGCGCGGAGAAGAAAGCCTCCATACATGTGCGCGATCGGGTGGTAATTCTTGAAAACACATCTGTGTCGAGCATGAATATCGGCCGCGCCATCACCGGCCAGCCCAAGGAGAAGCCGGGCAGAGGCAAGGACTGGCTCTTGCCAGAAGAGGCACTGTATCTTATGGAACGGGGCTCACTGGATTTGTGGTGGCCGACAAGAGGGCTGGAAGAGATCTTCCCTGTCGAGAGTCCCGATGCGACCAATGTTGACGGCTCAAAGCCTGAGACCACAGACGCAGCCGAAGAGGCCGACGAGTACGAGAAAGGGGTCCCTTTGAGCGTGCAGGCTGCTTACGCGCTTCTTGTTGGCAATGATGGTGAGCGCGGCAAGGTCAGCCTCAACAAATTCCAGGTCTACTCGAATTTGAAGCGGGCGGGCTATAATGTGCTTCGCGCGCCCCATAACCAAAAGCAGGCGGTTGTAGGCCAAGAACCCCTAACAACAACCACACTTTGGCAGTGGTTATCATCTCTGCTCGCGAGAAAAGAAGTCGACCCGAAGCCGTTTGGGCCTCTGGTCCAACCTGGTCTCTATCGTTCCTATATTCCGATCTACACACACATGGCAATAATTCCACGACACAAACCTTCTGCATCTCGCTCCAGTCCATGGCAGCCACAAGCGCCATTCGAAATCCACTATCATATCTGGAAGACAGCGCAAAAATGGACAAAGATCCGACACCCTGCGCCCGACTTCTACATGGCTGTGGTTGATGCGCAAGAATCTGCCGTGCCCTCCTTTGAGGAAATCACGGCGTTGATTGATGCAACGCCGTTGGCGCCGGGCAAGCCCGAGTGGTCAGGGCCGGGACGACTGTACGCCCGATTGAAGCATGGGCACCGAAATGTGCTCGTTGCCGTGGTCGACCATGGCGTCATCAATTACATGCGGTTCGCCGAAGGCGCGTTTGGCGAAGAGCTTTTGTTTCAGCGTTTCGACGGTAGGGGGATAACCCGAGGCGGGAAACAAGGCGGAGGAGGCGGTGGAAGGGGGAGGGGTGGCGCTCGTGGAGGCGGCGCGGGTAGCCGGGGCGGCGGCGGCGGCAGGGGCGGCAATAGAGGACGAAAGTAAGCGCGCACAAGGTTGACTCCAAGACCTACTATTACAACTACATCCACCTCGTATGCACATCACATCCGCAAGAAAGCAGAGGCGCACTATTCGGTGCATACCCAGTGTACAGCTGCCACCTAGATACCTGCCAACCTCCCATCATATGTTGGGCAGGGCTATCCCTGGAGACGAAGCAATCTGTCTGAGCAGAAAACTTGAGTCTCGTCACACGCCGTCCCGCGCTGTCCAGACAGACTTTCCTGTCTCACAGCGCACAGTGCACGAGATGGACAGCGCTAGCAGGATGGCGCTATGAGTGTGGTGATGCCTGGCCACTCGGGCCCGCTTTCCCGTCTTACACAAGGAAACTCAATTTCCACGCAAGAACAAGTGGTGTACAAACCTGTCGGCCGAAGAAAGAGGCCACCGAGAGACGAGAGCCTCGAGATTCGAGAAGCATCGCTGACAAGCGCGCGTCAGCCGGTCCTGGACACACAACATTGTGTAGCTGCAGTCTTCTTATGCAGTCCTGCTCAAAGCAAGGTTATGGCGCGCGTTGCTGCGACTTTTACGGTTCAGTAATTAGGGGGTTGGCAAGTGACTCTTTGTATCAAACCATGTCAAGACAAATAAAATACACAATTAAGAATATCACAACACATCATTGGCGTCACTATTTAACATCATTATTTACTATTCCCCCCGCTCGTATTTGTGCCAAGTTTCAGTCGACATTTCATTGTACGATGATCGAATCGACCACATGATGGAATAGGTGAGGTGTGGCTGCATTAATTCCCGGTCTTATGATCAGAGCATGAGTGAAGAGGCATGTCAGAGCGCAGCGTCAGAGTTGGCGGAAATGCCAAATAATCCGTAGATCGTTTACAGTTATAATGCACCCAGTAACTCTACAAAACTTCAGATGGGAGGTCGCTCTACCAAACAGGGCTTCGGGTTTCTTTTAGATTGTATAGGGCCTCTAGTTCTAGGGAGGTAGGGGGGTGCGAGGGGAGGAGAGAACTAGATGGGTTTTTTGTTGTCGTACCCACTTCTGGTTGATCTGTCTCGTCGAATTTCCTCTCTGTCTCTCACCCATTTTGTCACGCTTTTAGGCTGGGTTTGATTTGGTTTGAGTTTCGCCCGTAACTGACCAGTGAGGTCTCGGGGTTTTACGTGGTGTTGCCCCACTCTCCTTTCCGTTGCTCTTTCTCTTGCTAGCTTGCTCCGGGTTGGCTCGCTCCCCAATGCAATGCCGCGTCGACACGACACAGATCAGCAAGAAAGAAAAAATAATTGCGGTCAATCTCCCCCCGTTTTCCCCGGCTGGTCATCCCCCTTTTTTGTACTTGCAGTCTCATCCTTCCTCTCATTCTTGTTGTGCAGAAAATGGTAATCACACTAGGTTTGCTTATCACTGCCCTCCGGGCCCTCTTGATAAGCGGCCAGAGATATATACCTACAGACCAGTTGATAAGGAGTGATTCGGTGTGGGAGTGAATAAGAAGGTTGGTGCTCAGGATGTGCTCTTTATGCTCCTTGCACCCCATCCTTCCTCATGTGCCAGAATGGGATTTCCGGCTGTGGGATGGGAACCGGGCAGGTTGGAAGGGAGAGTCGGAGAGAAGGGGGAGCGAGCGCTGGTCATCGATTTTCCTTTCCTTGTGTAGCCACGACTTGCATCACGTTGATGCAACAGTTGGAATGTTTCAGATGGGCTCAAATTAGCCCCGGCAGCCCAGCACTGCATGAATGTCCCCATTGCATGCACTAGAAGGCAAGGGATGGAGTGATATCGAGAACCCGCCATCGCCAATGAATGGGGAAGTAACATGCGAAATAAATTAAAGAACAATAAGGAAGAAAGCAGGTTCTCGAGGTGGCTTACCTGCCAATTGCCAGTGAGAGAAAATCACAAGCAACTGCCGCCGAGAGTATGATAAGTCAGCCAGCGGAGGCAACCTAACCCAATACCCGGTCGAAATTGCGTCTTTCAGTCCTCCACGAGACAAAAGGTGCCAGAGCGTCTCGGCGCCGTCTGGGTTTTCTACTGCCTGGAAAGAGGGGGAAGGGGGCCTCATGCAACTCTTTGGAAGATCACGAATAATCAAGGCAAGATAGCTGGGCACATAAAAAGTACAAACCACGGATTAGGGTTCTCGTTTGCTTTCAGCAGTTTCGAGTCGTCTCCAATGGGAAAACTGGAAACTTGGCAAGAAAAATAAGAGTCTCGCCTCGCTTAGCTATCAATTTGGCTGAAAACGCAGCGCAGTGTGAATCATCCCGTCATCCTACGGTACTTGCTGCTCGTACCTGAAGGCCAGCGCGCCACGAGTACTGCTTAGGTACCTTTTCCCCCCTCCCCCTAGACTTAGTACCGAACTAACCTTGTCTTCTTTTGATTCAATTATTATTATTATCTACCCAC